AATATTAAGACAAAAAATGAAGATAAAACCCACAAAGTTTATGATCTTTCAAAAATGTGGAATGCATTTTTTGCTTTTTTAAAAAAGATTTATATGTTGATTATGTATACAATATTTTGCCTGTATGTCTGCCTGAAGGCCAGAAGAGGGCACCAGACCTTCTTATGGATGATTTTGAGCAAACATTTGATTGCTGGGTATTGAACTAAGATCCAGTGCTTTTAACAACTGAGCCATCACTCCAGCCCAGGGTACAACAATAACCCACATAAGGTAAAATCAAACTTTAATAGTGTAGATTTTTAATATATAATATCTGTGATTTATTTCTGGACCTTGATTTTAGGACAAGACAGGAAATATCATACAAAAAATCTATCCTCTTATATATTCTTGAAGACCTGTTGTTTTCTTTGTAGGTTCATCTCATGTGATGGTCACTTTTAATTATATGATGGTGAAGTCATATGGCATCCATCTTCTCCAACCCTAACAAAGATGGTGACCAGTCACGAGGTTAACTAGAGATGGCAGCAAGCCAAGTGCTGTTGTTTATATGCCAGAATGGGATCATAGCACGTGGTCTCTTTAAGATTACTTATGTATAGATTTTTACCTACCAACCTTGTGTTAGTAGTTTTAAGCTAAACTTTTTGAAAAATAGTTTTACCAGATTTTAACCAAATCCAATGAAATAAACTTAAAATTTTGAGGTGTAGAATGTTTATACAAATGAAGGTTAATTTTTGGCTGTTCTGCTTTGCTTTCTGTGCCAGGAGAATTAACCGGACACAGGGCATAGTTAAACATGGTTGAATCTAGAGAATGGGAACCTAGACCCAAATTCTAAAAAATTGTTTTTTAATAAAACAGAACACCAAAAAACATCTAAATTTTTGCTGAACATACGAGAATATAAAAGCAGAGAAACTTTCTAATGATATATCTGTAATGGTCTGTCCTGTCCCTTTAGGAAAAAAGCCCTGCCCATTCCCCTACCTTCTGCCAGGGCAAGGGGATCTTCCTTCTTCTTCCAGCCTGTATGCTTTCTTTCTGCCCCCTCTGCCCTCTCTTTCTTTGGAAGAGGTGGCTATGGCCTCCTCTCCTCTCCCTCTTCTGCCCCATCCCTTCTCTCTCTTCCCTTCCCTTTTACTAAATAAATTATATCCAAACTCTCTCTGCATTGCATACCTATCTGTCTCTATCTCTCACCTACTCCTTGTGGGACTGGCTGATCCTTGTGGCCTGCTATGCTCTCTAATCCACTGTTGCCATAAACCACCCACAGTCGCACACTGCCACCCCTCATGGAACTGTAGCATTTTTTATCTAAAACATTACATTTGGTGTTTCTCACCCGCCACTACCCCTCATGGGACTAGCTGCCCCTCATGGGACCAGTCCCCAACCCTTTTATCTTTATAAAAGAATAACATTGATATGTGACTCTGCCAGGCTTTCTACATGTTCCCTCCCACCTGGGGGCGGGACAGCTGAGGACACATAAAACCCTGGGCTCAGGAACCAGGTATCTGCCTGCACCTGAGCACCAACCTCTACAGACACCAGTGGCTTGGTGGTGAGTTTTCCCCTTCCAGTCAGCTTAACCAAGTCTCACACTCCCAGCAGTCGTCTGGTGTTCCTAGAAATGGGGGGAATGCCCCCAACCACAGTCTTCAATGCTACAGTTGATCTCTTCACTGACATTCATCTCTGGTTGTTTCCTATAGCTAAAATTGTGATGGGACTCACTAACTAACACTGTGTTGTGCCCATATCATGACCCGCCCCCCCAGAGAGACCACCAGAAATCAGAGAAGTCCAGACTGCAACAGCAAGGTTTATTGTTACTGTTAACATAATACGAACTAGCATGGAACTCGTCTCCAGCACTCATCCCAGCATAGCAGGGAGGAGTTGGAGTTCTTGGGTGGGGTTAGCTTTACAAAGGCAAAAACTACAGGGCCTTCAGGGTGCTCAGGGGTTTTGGTGCAATTTATATTTTTACTTCTTGAAGGTCTTTGCTTTTTCGCTTTGTCAGCTTGTTTTGTCTTTAGAATCAGGTTACGTTACACTGTCCCTGAGTTGGGGCATTTTGTGGTATACAGTCACCACTAGATGGTCAGACATCCCGACTCTTGTGCTTTAGAATTTTCTGAGAAGGGGGGCACCATCAGCTCTCGAATCATGATGCTAGTCTAGGGGTTTTGATTTTAAAACACTCTGCCAGGAAATTCCTTTGAGAATAAGGGGTGAGGTTTGCTTTGGGACTGGGGTTCCTCAGATAATTTTTGTTTTGTTTTTGCATTTTGTGTTGTTGTTATTTTTCTGTTTCTCACTTTTTTTTCTTTTGAACCACATGAAAAGTGGTCCCCACTGTGAGAGACCATCCAGGATGGCCTCTAGCATCTGACTTCTGAGTCACCTGGACTGGGGCCAGTTGGCTTCATTAATACCCTAGCTATAGAGACAAGATATTTTTCTACAGGCCTTATTGTGTTTGTTCACTGTTTTCACATTTTTAGCTATGGAACATAAACCTTCAAATTATCAGCCACCCACCTGTAAATATTCTGCCAGTGTCCTGCCGACTCTGCTTTTCCTTTCTCTGGGCATCCCCTTCCCACCCATCTGAAAATGCTCTTTTTCTCTCACTCCCATTCCTTCTATTCAATCCCTGCCACCACTAAGGCTGGACCCACATTAAGTGACAAGATTAATCGGATCTGCAAGACAGCTGTTTCAGTTCCAGCCTTTGTTCCCTGCTGTGGCTTATGGAGTGGTGGCATAGCAACAGGTGTATCATGCCTCTAGGTCTCTCTTATTATTATATTTAAAACTCCTGCTGCTCAAAAAGTGTGACTTCTCCATATAAAATGTGACTGCCACCATTTTGACTAAGGACAGGTGACCTTACCACCATCTTAACTGAAGGCCACGTCAGGTAACCAAGTCCCACCATCTTTACTGATGTGTGGCCTGCCTGGTTCTCCAGTGCTGATTCTGCTACATGTGTGTTTTGTGCAGTGGCATGACTTTGGTAGGGCCCACCAACAGCATCCACTTCACCCAATCACTGTTCACTCTGTTTGTGTGTGCATGTGCATACATGTAACTTAAATGCACCTATGTTTACTGTTAAATGTTTTAACTGTCTGCCCATAATATCTATTTTAGACTAGCAAATCAATAATTCTCATGCTTTAAATTTGTCTAAGAGACACAAGAGATTTCCATACTACAAACACTGGACAGAAGCAAGGAGACCAGCTACCCCACGATATGACCAGCACCCAAGTTCCTCAGGTTCTCGTTCAACAAGATGATGCCCACAGATAAGCAGGAAAAAGTCTTGAGGATCCAACATCCAAATTCCTTTAACCTGTTGTGCGTAACTTCCCTCCTTTTTATTATTAGAAAGAGGTAGGTGAAATTACCTGGGTGTGAGTGAAAAGGAAACATGGAACATGCAATAAACCCACTTAGGAGTTTATTAGAGGGGGTGCATACAGGCCTGGGAATTGGTGTGCAGAGAGAGAAAGAAAGATGGCATGTCCAGCCTTTAAAAGCTGCTTAGTGCATGCACACAGGAAGTTGGCAAGACTATGTCAACGCAGATGACAAAGATGACAGGCTCATGCATGAACACAAGGGTTTAGCTGAGTCATATGTGGATGGAACAATGCATACACATGTGTCACGTCGGGCCCTTTAACATTCAGGCATTTCCGCAAGAGAGGACCCATCTGCACGTGCTCGCCTTTAGAACCCCGAAGGTGCAGCCTTATGTGTGGCTGAATAATTATAATGGGAATGTTATGACCTGCTACTGACTTGTACTGTCCCTTTAAGAGATAAGCCCTGCCCACTCCCCCTTTCTGCTGAGGCAAGCAGATCTTTCTTCTCTCTCTGCCCCATCTCTCTTCAGAAGAGGGGGATGCAGCCTTTTCTCCTCTCCTCTCCTCTCTCTCTTTTCCCCTTTCTCTTTTTCTCTTTTTCTCTCTCCCTCTCTCCCCTTCCCTTTTCTTCAACAACCCACTGAATGAACGATATCCACTTTTTCTGCATGTTGTCTATACATCTCTAACCCACCACGGTCCTTGCGGTACCACCCGCCCAGCTGACCTGCCGAGGTCTCTCACAGAGTGCCTCCCACTCACCTGAGACCCACAGTGGCCACAGGTAGTGGGACCCAGCTGCCCTTTGGGAAACTGTGCCATTTTATCTAAACCATTACAACATCTTTCTTGAGAAGTAGACAAACAATTGTTTCTCACGGGAAAGACATGTTATTATGAATCATATAGCCTTTGAACCATGACTGATAGTCAATTTATAATCCCTGAGATAGGAGTTAACAGTATAATTTTAAGATGTTTAAAAGATTTATAGTATGTCTTTTAGTCTTCCACAGACAGACTTGTAGCTTCTGGGAGAGGGGAGAAAGGCAACAGCAGTGGGGAAAGTGTAGAACCTGAATTCAATCTGTAACTGAGTGTGAACAACTGAGATAACTCATTACCTACAGACCAGTCTGGCCTCCTTAGCCCCAGGATACAGCAGGCACTGTTCCCAGGAAGTGTCTGCATACATGCTACAGGGGCAGCAGCTCTAGACATGCAGGGAGGGGCAGGTGCCTCTCCATTTCTAACTCCTGTGTTATAGCAAACATAGGAAGAGGAGATTTATGTGGTTTAGGAAGAGAGTAGAGAGAGAAATAACAGGTTTTGGAGTAAAATAAAAGAGTCAAAAGCAGAGAATTCCCTTTGATTTTTTGATTGCTCAGACCCATGCCTCAGTAGTAGCAACCAGTGACCTATGCTATAACCAAGGCCACAGCAGCTGCTGTGTAATCCCAGCCCTTGTACTGTTTGTTGGCAGAGACACAGCCTTTGCAGCACGTGGCAGGGAGATAGGCTCTGCCCTTGCCCATGTGATAGACAAAGACTTTGCCCTGCATGAATCCAAGCAAGCACAGCAGGGACAGGCTGTAGCTACAACATTGTGAACATCATGCTTTAGCTGGAGAGAGACAGAATTCCCCATGAGAGAATCAAAAATAAACCAGAGGGAGGACAAAAGAAATTTGCACATACTCTGATGGATGGCCAAGCAATAAATACCATTACCCGTTGGTGATGTCAGAATACCCACAATCCCCAAGAATCCTGGAGAGTCCCTGCTCACAGGTAACAGCTATGGGTCTTCTTTCTCAGGGATCATTGGCTATAGGTCCCCAAGATAGAGGGAGCAGATGTTGGTAACAGGGTTCTGATACAATGGAAATAGCCTTCAGGAAAGTGATTTCAATGAGACAACTCAGCTTTATTCTAAAGTATGTGAAATATAAAGGATTGGGGACAGTAACTGGGGAATCACTGATTAAACAGCAGACTCCTGTCATAGCTGGGTTAGTGCAGCACCAGCCTATGAAAATAACTAGAGCCTGTTACTTAATTACCATATGGTCAGCAGAGGAAGGACATTTAAAGGGAACTACATTAAGGTTTGGGGAGACCCAAAAGTGTGAACCTATTCCACCTTGTCTGAAGGTCAGAAAGTTTTCAACTTGCTCAAAGTTGTTGAAAGCAACTTTGGCTATATACCTTGACCTAGGGTGTGGTTACTTGGTGTTTTCCACATTAAGATGGTCGATGGACATAGATCCACTCCTCCCTGACCAAAGGTCAGAGAATTCAAGCATAGTTCTGCTCCTTCTTTTGATTTAGGAGGTTTGACTGAGGGAGTGGCTTCCTTCTGGATAATTGGACTAGGGTGGGTTTACTGCATAAACAACAGAATACTTTTTCATGAATTAATTTCCTAATGTCTCAAAGTACCGCAACAAATAACTGTTCTAGTTGTTCATGTTAAAGTAGTATGTTGCCTTCTTCTCCCATTTTGTATTAGTGTATAAAATGTATGGATATTTAAACATGGGCAAACTTAGTACCCAGAACTCAGTATTCAGCAGAGACTGTAGTGGCCCTCCGAAACTATTCTGTGTCTTTGTGATTCTTTCTTATCTTCGTTCTCCCTACTTAACATTTTCTAATCCTCATGCCCCTATTCTGCAATGTGTCAGCAGCTAGGATTGTGGCAGAATTCACCGCAAAAAGGTGGCTCTGACAAAGGGTCATCCTTGAGATGAGTCAGGCAGGGAGCCTAGGGACATCTTCCAAATAAGAGCAGGTAGAGAGCAAGAATCCTCTCTGGGGAAGGCGTCCTTCCTGTTGCTGAGTTGAGAGAAAACTACAAGACCATGGTAGACTGTAACGTCTGATCAGCAGGGCCTCCTATCAGGTCCATGTTTCTGCTGCCATCAGGAACTCTAACCCTCTATAACTGTAAGCTCAAAAAAAAACCTCTTCCTTCTATATGTTTACATTATTAGGGTATTTTATCACAATAATAGAAAAGTAAGTAACTAATATACCTAGGAGCAAAAAAGAAGACAAAACAAAACAAAATAAAAACAAGCCCTGTGATGTAAGCAAGTGAAAATGGTCTTCAGAATTTTACTTTCCTTTTTTTATAGCCTTTCTGTATGAAAATTTGGGTTTGTGCACCCTTCTTAGTTCATTGTATTCAGGACTCTGGAGTGCCTAGAAGCACCTTTACCTGCAAAACCATCATGCCAGGCCTTGTAATATTTTTCTTCTTAATAAAAATAAATGTTTTTCATACAAAATATCCTGGTTATGATTTTTCTTCACTCTATTCCTTCCAGTTCTTTTTCTGCTAAGCTTGAAGACAGTGAGCTCTAGCAATTCTGTCTCTGCCCCTTTGGTGATTGATTTACAGGTAGGTGTGCACAGGACACATGACTAGTTGTATGAGTACTGGGATCTAAACTCTGGTCCTCACATTGTGCAACAATGCTCCTAATTATTTTCTCTTTAGTTTCACATTCTTTCCCTTCCTTCCTTCCTTCTTTCATTTTTCTACCTTCCTTCCTTCCTTCCTTCTTTCCTTCTTTATTTCTTTTTTTTTTGTTCCTTTTGTTGTTTTGAGACAAGATTAAGATAAACTTGAAGCTTAAACCTATGGTCTTCCTTCGATCCATGACTTCTGGGATTCTAGGCTTGTGTCACCACACCTAACAAAGTTCTTTTTGATTGGCCTATGAATCTGATTTTTCTGAACAACCCTCAGAGTAAGATGAAACCAACCATAATTTAAACACAGGAACAGCTGCAAATAGAGTACTTGTTTGTGAGTTTGGATTCTATCCTGTTTTAGTAATTTTCTTGATGCTTTTTAGTTAACATATTCAGGGGCCCATTTAAGTATTTCATCTTGCTTCATAGACAGCATAGGAGGTTAAAAATACTCCTCATCACTGTAGGAAAATGTCCTCTTTCTGAAGATTCTCTAGAATGAAAGGGTAAAACAGATTAAATAGAAAACACATTGTTTTAATGTTTATGGTATTGTTATGCCTTCAATTCCAGGACTCAGGCAGATGAGGCAACAGGATCATGAATTCAAGAACAGACTGATAGTATGTCAGGACTCTGTATACAGCCAAACAAAATGAGAAGAAAGCACCTGTGCAAACACTCCTGGATAAGCAATTAAGAGACCTGCCTGCTCTTACAGAGGACACTGGTTAAATTCCCAACACCCTCACATTACATCTGCAATGCCAAGACAATGTGTCATGTCTGATACCCGATTTCTCAGGTACCAGACATGCATGTAGTACATACACATACAATGTAGACAAAACACTTATACACGGAAAATGAAAATAATATTAATTAAAAATAACCAACAATAATAAGCAACAGCTGTGTGATCAACAGCACCTTAAGCATCTGTGATCAGCAAGATGTTCTATTCAATAGCTTCTGGGGACTTTTTCAGACGTCAGTTTCAGGTTCCAGACACCCAGGAATGACATGAACCTTCTCGGAGACACAGGGGAAGTAAAATATTTTCTTCTATGCAGTATAAGGACACATTAAGAACAAGCAGTTCCTTAAGACGTGCTTCAGTGAGGACACAAATCCAGCCTCTTGGCCAAGGTTTGTCTGTTGACCCCAGAGGCAGCAGCCTACAACTGGCAATAGGACAATTGTAAAACACAGGACAAAATGAATAGACTTAGAATATCAAAATCATTTGTAGGGTCAAATATCTGTGGCTTCTTGATTTCTGGGAGGCAATTTAGAGTCCATATAGAATCTGAAAGAAGGTTTTAACACATTCAGGCATGTGTGCGAGAGTCTGTTCTCTTCTTATCTGTAGTTAGTTAATGGATTATCCCTGTCTGATCTCCATCCTCCATCATTACTCTCTCCCGTCCTTTAGGATAATGGTTTACTCATAACATTATTATTACCCATAAGCTAGGACAAGGGCAAACCCCAGCTGTGGGATATCCAAAAGTCTACCACAATTCATCAGTGAATGATGATTTATAGCACAAAGCAAAGGATGTAGGTTTATTAACTATAGTGACACTGGAGAGAGCAATAGATAAAGCAGTCTAGTGACCCCAAATCTGGCTTCTGGGTACTGACATAAACTTTAGGTTTAAACAGAGGAAGAGCTGGGGCTGTTGGTAAAGGTAGATGTTTTAAATAGTCTTGATCAAAGTGTGGTTGTTTGATTATTACATTAGTTTTGGTTCAGCAAGCCTTTTGAAGGAATCATCATTGTTATCACTTGTTGAATGCTGTTCATTGTGGCTATTTCTGATCTACAGTGAGATTCCAGCACAGATAACTGCCCTCATATGGAAGAAGATAATTCAGAGAGCCTTTATATTATTTGTTGTTGAGTTCACCTCTTTGTCAAAAAGGTGACTACAGATTTAGGACAATGACCAGAGACCTTTAGGTGGTTTGGGAAAGTCTGACGAGATTTTGAGAGCTGACAATAACATGCCTTTGTCACTGTTATCCTTAGCACTCTGGAAAAGGAGCACATTTTTGTAGATTCTTGATTTTATTGATGAGAGAATCTATGAGGCCTCAAAGGGGAGAATATGAAAGTGGTTTTATTAAGGTTAGATTAAACAATGGGGTAAGTGGACAGGAGAATTCAGCACTTGTTAGGAGAAGGGATAAAGATAGAGGGGGAGAAGGAGGACAGCAAATATACTTTAAATAGAATCTATAGGTCATAGACACTTCTTACAGTACAGGGTAGACATATTGAACAAAGAAAGAACTGGATACTCAGGGTTTTTCTTATGCAAAAGAAAGCTGTTTCTCTTAGTCTGTTTGCTTTTAGAACTATTTTTAACTATATTAGGCTCTTCAGCATGCATGTATTTTATATTGAGACTATTTCCTCAAACTCCCTTTCTTCTTGTTTTCATTGCTCTATCATAAGTCTTCTTTGTCTTCCTGAATGTTTTACTTCAAGATCATTCCACAGATAGATATAGACACATATGAAAATGGCTTAATAAAGAATGTAATAGTCAATGAAAGAAAACATCCAGGATTTATATCTGAGATTATTAACTGTAGCAGTAGAATATTATGAAACTATTTTTTACAATTTAAGAGAATGGAATTTTTTCTGGACTTCATTTGGTTAATTTGTTATTTATCTTTGGTTAATAACAAATATTGAGGTCTCTTAAGACTTAATGACTATTACCCCTGTGCACTTACACTGCTTGCTTATCCTGCCTTTAAGAGACTAATGTGACAATTAACCTTACCTGTCTTGTATTTCTCAGATAATCAACTTATACTTTATAACCTAAGCTAATGTTTAGCTGTAATCTTAAATTTTGTACTTTCCCATTCTTCTTTCACATAGTAATTCATTCATTCTGAAAATCATTTGCTGAAATAAAACAAAAATAGAGAGTTTGAGAGCAGTCTTCTAAAATAAATATCAACAATAAATGTTGAGCACACTATGTAGATTTTGTTTGGGAAACAATGATGCTTGAGTACTGTTTATAATCTGGGTCAGTAGCAACTGAGGTATGAAAATCACTTTCAGACTGGCTGTCTCCTGAGGTCAGGATATGCTGATGTTGTTCTGCTCCTTCTTTGTAATTATGAGGACCACCTGGGAAGAGGTGTTAATCCAAGCTAGTGACAGGGCTTCAGCAGTGAGATCAGTCTTACCACCCTGGAAACAGAATGCTAATGAAGTACCCCTCAGTTTACCTTGGGAGATAAAAGCTGTTTAGAAAATAAATGCAGGAAATCTTCAGGATTTGATTGAACCCTGAGACAGCCTTCTGATATTGCTGTGTGGAGGGTGTCTCAATTATTCCTGTCCCTTCATACCAGTCCAGAGAGATAGTTTATGTTGGGTTTGGACCCTAACATTGAACTTATTAAAGAAGTAAAATACAGAAAATCTGAATTTTGAGTGAAACTTTAACACATGAAATAAGAAAATTAGATAACTAAGCTGAAGGTGAATATTCCAAAGGAATTTTGTTATCTGTGTGCTTGGGTGTAGTGGATTGGCTGCAGGACCCTGGCAGCTTCCTACAAGGTAGAGACCATGCAGCAGGTCCACAAACCAAGGTGGCAGCTGGCTAGTCCCTGGTGAGCAATGTGGGCAGGTGGCAGGTGGGAGGCACAGATGCTAGGAATCTCCAGGACTGCTGGGGGACCCAAAAGCAGCCAATCCCAGAGACCACATGGCAGGGAAGGTGGCTGATCCCCGGCCAACAAAAAGATAGGCAGCAGGTGGGAGACACAGAGATAGACATACCATACAGAATGAAATTGGATATTTATTTGGTGTTATGGAGGGAAAGGAAAAGGGGAGAAGGGAGGAGGGAGAGAGAGAGAAGAGAGAGAGAGAAAGAAGAAAGGGGGAAGGGGAGAAGTGGGGAGAGAGGCAGAAGCTGCCTCTTCCAGAGAGGGACAGAAAGAGAAAGAGTAGGGCAGAGACTGCAAGCAGGAAGGGAGTGGGCATGGCTTGTCTCTTAAAGAGACAGACCATTACATCGGGTACAGATATCAAGCTTTGTTTGAAAAAATTTATAAAGTATAAAATTTATAAATGATATTAAGATCTATAAAACAAATACAGGGTGAGGAAATTTACTAAGGTTCTGTATCAGAATTTATGTTTAGAAATGAACACCCTGATGATAGTTTTGCATCTTATAAAGTAAGTCTGGTGTAATTATCAGGGGCAGATTATCAAAGCTAGTATTTTTGTTTAGGGGCTGAGTCAAACATCTTTAATACATAAGCTTTCTGGGTATGTTTGTTGTAGAGATATGAAGGGATTATAAGAATGGACTAACTCCAACTTTGGAGCCTTTGCTTGGCCTCGCCTATCTTGACAGAAATAAAATGTTTGAGTTTTGCCTTTTATTTAGCTCAGGTTACCGAGGAAGGACAGACAAGAGTCAGACTTCTTGGGCTGTGGACACCATGGATCTCAAACATAATTGTTCAGTGAAGCTGAATGATGGAAACTTGATGCCAGTGCTTGGATTTGGCACATTTGCTCCGGATGGTGTAAGTGGGACTCTCGGGAACTAAAGCATTAGATATCAGCTATCCTGGAAGTGTGTTCAGAAGGCAGAAGACAAACACCTAGAGAATGATTCACCTGGGCTTCCCTTTCCCTGCTTACAATTTACTTCTGTTCATGCTTGAGGATGAGTATTGGTACTTGATGAGATGCCAAGATGTTAGGTCTGGAGATTTGGAGGTTAAAGATTTTGTAAGCAGATTATGTCATTATTGTTATTAACATTGTTTCCTGACAAATCTCAATGCTTGCTATATATTTAAGTACTTATATCTGTAAGTATAATGAATCCTTGATATCAGTATTCTTATTAATTTTTAAATTTTTATCATCTAAAGCTCAGTTTTCTTCTGCATTCTAGTCTCAGTTAGAAATCCCTGTGGGCAATGGATAGAAGAGAAAATGGCTAACAGTAGGGACATCAGACTGCAGCTTTGCTATGAGTTTTTTTGGAAGAAGATGCATTTGTTAAAGAATATCAACTATTTGAACAGATTTTAAATTTTCGTACAGGTACACAACATGTTTCTATCTTATGCAACACTCATTCCATATCTCCAACTACTCTCAGATTCTCACTTCTCTTTCCCAACTTCCTCTTCTTCCTCCTCCTCTCCTCCTCCTCTTCCTCTTCTTCTTCTTCTTCTTCTTCTTCTTCTTCTTCTTCTTCTTCTTCTCGTCCTCTTCCTCTTCTTCCTTCTCCTCCTCTTCTTCCTCATCCTCCTCCTCTTCTTTCACCACCTCCTTCTGCTGTTTCTGCTGCCTCTTTTCCTCTTCTCCTTCCTCATGCTGTAGCGTTTTCATATCATGAGATAAATAACAATCACCTATGTTAGGAATGATTAATATTCTGTTTCTAAGGCATGTTTTCAACACTGTTTGCTGACTGAGAATTTTTTTCCCCTGGTACAAAGCCAGAGGGGCAACCTGACCCAGAGCTGAGAGTTTTCAAGGAAAACTGACATAAACATGTTTGGGTCTGAAGTTGGTGGAGAGGAAAATCTGCTTCCAGAGTCAGCTTCTCAATGAGCTTTAGCAGCCTATGACAATTTACCAACATTGTGTACAATATATATTTATGCATATGTGTATTAAAGCAATCGTGGTAAATTCTGTCACTCTTACCTGATAATTAACCAGTATATTGTTCTTAATCAAGCGTCTAATTGTCATTAAAATTTATCCTGGGTATTATAGAAGTCTGCAAATGCTATTTATCTATTTCTGTGTCTCTTTCACAACAAAATAGATGTATTTGAAGCAGAGTTGAAAAGCTGTTAAGATGAGAGTAATGAGGAGGATGATGATAATGATGTTGATTAAAACAAGGTCTCATGGAGTTTGTGCTGACTTTGAACTCATTATGTAGATTAGGATGAATTTCACCTTCTGTTCTCCGAGCCTCTCCATCTTCCAAGTGCTAGGATTGTAGGTGTGAGCTATTCCATCCACTTCTCATACTTTCTTGTGTAAAGACTGTCTCCTTCAATTGTTCCAGAAACCTCATGAAAGAAAGGAAGTCAGTTAGTTCATGGAAAATGCCTAGTACTCAAGAGCCTAACATAGTGTTGGACTAGAAGGCAGCACTCAGTAAATGCTTACTGCATAAATGCTGAATGCAAAGACCTGCAAAATGAAGGGAATAAAAAAATCTTGAGGAAACAGAAGAATTATTTGGGCAAAATTGAGAGCAATGGGAAATAGGAACTAATTTCCATTCATCACTTCACAAATACCTATGTATATGTACACCTGTCTAATATACTGAGGGCCTTAGAATTTTTCTCACAGTTTGCTGCTTTATGCTAGCTAGTTCCGTCCAACTAATCTTTATTGAATGAAACTTGCATTGACATGCTTCAAAAGAATTCCACATCACTAATTTATTCAGTCAAGATTTAGAAGTTAATCCTTCTATAGTCTGTGTCTCCAGATAGATTGTAAATCTATTATCAAGGTTGTATCATCAAACAAGATCAGCCATAGGGCTAGCTGAAACTCGAAAAAGAATGTGATAAAGATATAAACGACTATTTTTTTCCTGAGTTTGTAACATCTTCTACTTTTCATACTCTTGTCTTATAGATTCAAAAGAGCAAGGTTAATGAGGCCACCAAAATAGCCATTGATGTAGGTTTCCGTCACATAGATGCTGCATACTTCTACCAAAATGAGGAAGAAGTTGGGCAGGCCCTCAGGGACAAGATGGCTGATGGAACTGTGAAGAGAGAGGATTTATTCTACACCACCAAGGTGAGCACTTGTGGCCAGAATGGCTGGAAGTCACTGTCAACGCAGATATGTCCTGGGGAAGGAGACACCACACCCTTGGTCTCAGATTGAATCATAGCTTTATTGCAAAGACACATTATAGAAACATAGAGAAGAGGACCAACAAGATGACTCAGTGGAAAAAGATACAGGCTGTCAAGACTCTCAACCTCTTACCCTGGCCAGTCTATGGTAGAAAAGAAATGATTGCTAATATCCTATTATCCTATTTCTACAAGTGTGGTATCCACGTACATGCACTGATGGTCTCTCTCTCTCTCTCTCTCTCTCTCTCTCTCTCTCTTTCTCTCTCTCTAACACACACACACAAAAAAAAAACTATAAATAAGAAAATTAAAAAATAAAGTCTTGTTTTGTCCCAAAAGTATCATAAATGTGGGATACAGATACTCAGTATATCTGAATATCAGATATTTTCTAGATGAAGTAGGGACACAGTTCTGTTGGATAATCTGACCTCTCTGGGCCACAAGAAAATAATTCTTCAGGAGAATCTCAAGTCAGGTTGAAAATATTGTTTACAAAAGGAAAAATCCTCTTCTGAAATCTTCACTGGTGGACTGGTATTTGTAACATTTCCTCAGGTGGAAAGGCAGTCTTCCAGTTTGATTCCATCTGAGTTGATATCCCTACAGATGTCTCCAACCTATGTTTACACTGGTGACAGCTTGTTTTTAGATGGGATCTCCTAGAATTGGTTCTGGATTTGCTAAGAACCATGGATCCTTTGTCAACTTGACTGCTGTTTGTTCAGTTACTTGGAAACCTCACCCAAGAGAATACATCACTCTGCTCTGGATGGACTTTTAACTGGGAAATTCCATCTGGCTACCTAATAGGGCTTTCTACTAGATGTTTCCCAGCCCCCTGATTTATAGTTTTGCTATATAGTTTCTATATCTTCTCTCTATTTTTACCACATCCATCTCATCATTTCTTGACTCTTTCAAGACCAAAACTTCTAATTCTTGAAACATTGAATTTGGTTGTTTTCTAAATTCTGCTCATTCTCCTGACATTGTCATCACTCAAGTAAATCTCAGTATTCTATTGAGGATGTGATCTATGATGAATAACATAATTTTGATTAGTGTTCTGCAGAGTTTGTGGGAAAAGTTGGGTGAGGGGAAAATCATTATACAAATTGTTGAAAAAAATTTAATAAAAATACATAAAAACTTAGCCCAAGATGCTCTTAGCTTAGCTGAGACCACCATAGCACATCCCAATCATTTCACCACAATGTGTGATTCTGTTTGGAAATTCTAGATTTGGGCGACTTTCCTTAGACCAGAGTTGGTTCGTCAGTGCCTGGAGAGATCACTGAAGAAACTTGGGCTGGATTATGTAGATCTCTGTATTATTCATGCACCAATTGCTATGAAGGTCAGTTTTGGATTTTTATTCCCTAGATATGTTATTTCAGGCCAATGAGATTTTTTTCTGGGTTTTTACTGTGTATGATACATCAATCTGAGCTGAACAGAATCTGTGATTATGAAACTGTGTGACAGCTGAGAGATGCCACAGGTAAAACTCTTCAAATGCTCATCCTCCAGGCTTCAGGAAGGTTGAAGTTCAATGACTTCACTCCTTCTATCATCAGCATGTCCCCGGTTGTGGAGACTTCTGAGACTCCAGGGGGAGTCTCCAACTCCTTAGGGCATGTTCTTGCCTATATCTATCTCTCACGCTAGAACACAGAGATCTGAATTTGGGTAATGGACAATTAGGCTTGGGCTCCTTTGGGCCTCTAGGCTTCATTTTCTTGTCGAGGTACATGTTTACTGATCACATCTGAAATACTCATTAATTTATAAATGAGGCATCATAAATTGAAACAAAAGCTCATAATTAACAGCGAAAGTCCCATCCTTTACACTATTCTGCTATTGGGATATGGAAATTCCAACGGGAAGAGTCTTCATAGTTGGTGAGATTCAGTGTTTCATGAGGGTCACAAGGAAGAAAAGTGTTGGCAATCAAGGGGAAAATATTCCAGTATAATCTATTAGGTAATTTCACTTTTGTTTCTCCAGAGTCCCCCCTAAAGACACATGTGCACACATGTATGTGCACACACTCCCACACACAGAGTGAATGTTGGATGAGTAAGCTCATTTGCCAATAGAAGTTGACTATTAGAGAAAGTTTTGTTAACTTATTTTCTCTCTACATTCTAGCCTGGAGAGGAACTTCTGCCAAAGGATGCCAATGGAAAATTTATTTTAGACATAGTGGACATTTGTGATACATGGGAGGTATGTATTGCTCTAGGCAATAAGCACTGTGTGTCAAGAGAGGAAGTAATTAATACAGAATTAGAAGAGATGGATTTTGTTTCATTAACTGACAAGTCTAAGGCATATCATAATGCCTAGTCTTATAATACCTTACTATTCTAGGATCTTGTCCTAGGTAAAATGTATCTACTGTTCAGCTGATATCTCTGTGAGGCCTGATCATTCCTGTGAGGGAATGAATGAGGAGTGGATATGGGGGCGAGAGGAGATGAGGAGAAGGAATGGGAGGCGTGGTGGTGGTGGTGGGAACTGTGGTTGGGATATAACACATAAGAGAAGAATAAACCACAACAGCATCAACCACCACAATCCCTTCTCTGTCTTTCTGTAATCTCATCTGTAGAGGAAGAGTTGAGAGAAGCTGAGTTTAATTTTTAATCTCAGCTATGATTTGAGGTAGATATTTCTTTACCTACTAGATCCTATTAACAATAAAAGCCATATAAAAGGAATTAGCTGAAAGAGACTCAAGAAAGGTTACAATACTATTCCAGGACAGATAAACATGCCTTTGGAGAAGTATAATCTGCCTTAGCACAGAGCAGACTGTGATAGAGAATGAATCTTGCCACTATATACCCTATCCTGTATACAGATTTTCAACATTAAAGAGAAAATGTAACAATACATTTTACCTAGCACAAGATCCTAGAATTCTTTATCTTTGACTATGATGACATTTATTGAAGAACCATTATAATCCTGGCATCACAACAGATGCCACTGATGAGGGTGGGGAGGGTAAGGGGAGACTTAATATGTACTTGCTGTTCTCAATGTGCATGTAAATGAATGACATATATATATATATATATATATATATATATATATATATATATATATATTCATTGCAGGTGAGTGCCTTAGGCAAGGCTGTATTCATGTGTCAAAATTGTTTTGAAATTTTAACCAAAATTATGTAAGTAAATGAAGTTATTATGTAAGCAACTGAAATTATTATGTAAGTGTTCAAATAATCCCAAGGAGAATCTCCAAAGGGCAGAGTACAAATAGGATTAACTACATACTTCTTTCTCCCAGGCACTGGAGAAGTGTAAAGACGTAGGTTTAACCAAGTCCATCGGGGTGTCTAATTTCAACCACAAACAACTGGAATTGATTCTGAACAAACCAGGGCTAAAGTACAAGCCCACTTGCAATCAGGTGAGCTCTAGTTCACCTGGACTGTGCCTTACCTTCTGTTCTTCACAAACTTCTTTCTTACTCCATATTCCCCAAATCTCTTTTTCAAACCAGCTATTTAGGTTTATAGCTATTTTCACTGAGACAGGAAACATCAGTTATGGCTCAGGTTGACTATATTGGGAAGAACAAGACAGGGGAAGGCAGTTTGGTTGACTAAAATCACAACTCTTAAATGGAATACCATTGCTCAGTAACACAGTGTGTGCTGTATGAAAATCATTTAAAATCTTAAAAAAAAAACCCGATTGAAATAAAGCAGAGCAAAATTGTCTTGCTCCTATATTGTTCTCGTAGCACCCTAGATCATTTGTGTTGGTTTCTTTCCTAAATTTGTAATGAAATTTTTTTAATAACTTTTAAAGTCTTTTAACCTTTGCACAATTTAAAGCTACAAATCCACCGAGAATTGTGTGGGTACAACTTCCTTCACCTGCACACATCAACACGCTCAGGCAATAATTTCTCTTCTCTACAAATTTGTCATATACATAGTATTTGAAGTTTTGAGGCAGGCATCATATAGTTTTAGCCCATATTTTAAAAATACACATTTTAAAATAATTAACAGTGCTTAAACACGTACACTTTCAGCAAAGATTGGTATCACTAAATATCTTGAGTGTCAAAGTATGAATACTTTTTTTTTTTATTTTCATGGTACTTGGGAGTGAACCAGAGGCCTCACACACAGTAGCCAAATACTCTAACACTGAGTTTTAGCTTGTGATCTTTAATAGACATTTTGAGGTAGGCTCTCTTTGAACGATCTGGTTGACCTGAAATTTTATTCTTCCTGCCTTACTCTCCCAAGAATCTAAGTGTTTGTCACTATACCCTGTAACACATTGTTTTATTTTGTATTTATTTATTATTTAAGACAGGTTGTTTATTCTTTTTATTGAGCTATATATTTTTCTTTGCTCCCCTCCCTTCTTTCTTACTCCTTGTTCTGCCCTCTTCTATATATAATACCCACACTCCCAGTTTACTCAGGAGATCTTATCTTTTTCTACTTCAAATGTAGATTAGATCCATGTATGTTTTTCTTACAGTCCTCATTGTCATCTAGGTTCTCTGTTGTTGTGAATTGCAGGCTGCTTTTCTTTGCTTTATGTCTATAATCCACTTATGAGTGAGTACTTGTTATATTTGTCTTTCTGGGTCTGAGTTTACCTCAATCAGTATGATGTTTTCTAGATCCATTCATTTGACTGCAAATTTCAAGATGTCATTATTTTTTTCTGCTTTGCAGTATTCCGTTGTGTAAATGTACCACATTTTCTTTATCCATTCTTTGATCGAGGGATTTCCTAGTAGTTCTACTCTTATTAGTAGCTCTCATAATTTTGGTTTTATTTTTCCAAGATATTGTTCATCATTTAGGCTTTGGATAATGGATCTGGGACATTTAGATTGTTTCCAGTCTCTGGGTATGACAAATAATGCTTCTATAAACATAGCTGAGCATATGTTCTTGTGGTATAATTGAGCATCCTTTGGGTATATACATAAAAGTGATATTGCTGGAACTTGAGGTAGATTGTTTCCTAATTTTTTGTGAAATCACCACACTGACATCCAAAGGGGCTGTACCAGTTTGCACTCCCACCACCAATGGCGGAGTGTACCCTTTATCCCACAACCTCTTCAGCATAAGCTGTCATCAATGTTTTTGGTCTTGGTCATTCTTATGGGTCATTGGACATTCATAAGATGAAATCTCAGAGTTGTTTGGATTTGTGATTCTCTGATAGCTAAGAATGTTGAGTATTGGTTTATGTGCCTTTCAGCAATTTTAGATTTCTTTTTTGAGAGTTCTCTGTTTACTTAAGACAGGGTAGTCTTGTGTAGCTTTGTAGCCTGTCTTTGAATTTGCTCTGTTGTCCAGAATGGCCTTGAACTCACAGAGATCTGCATGCCTCTGTCTCCTGGGTACTGGGATTAAAGGCATGCACCCCCACTACTCTGCTATCCCCTTATACCACACCTTGTGTTTTTTTTTGTTTTTTTTGTTTTTTTTTTTTTTGCAAATTGATTCAATGTAGGGAGGTAAAATGACCAAACATCACCACTGGGTGGTATATCTATGAAGTTTTTCTTGAAATCAGAGGTTCGCTCTCTTGCATTCATATCCCATTTCCATCTTTTTTCTCTGTCCATTTCCCTTCTCCCTGTCCTTTGTTCTCACTCTCACTCTCTATCTCCTTTGATCTCTTTATGGAAGAAATTAAACATTTATTTTGTTAAAGTTCCCCACAAGATAGGGGAAACTAGTCACTGCTCACTGTGATAGTTTGGTAGGTTGTTTTTGAATTTCTTATACATTGAGGATCAGAGAAAAAGGCTTGATAACAGAAGACAAAAGTCATATAAGTTCCTAAAGCTTAAAAGACATGACATTTCCCCATCCAGTGCAGCCACTCTTGTTCATCTTTCTACTCGCCATTGTTCACCTTGACATCCAGTCCTTCTACAAGGCTTCCACTTCTTCCCTCTCTAGGGGCAAAAGCTTGCAGTCTTCTAACGATGGCTATACCCAGTCCTTGCTCTAACAGGCTATAGCTTCATTCTATAGAAACTGACAGAGACTGCAAGTTGGAAATGTTGACTTTAATCTTAAAATAAAAATAAAAGATAAAATACAGAAAAATGTACTTCCGGGTAAATTTGAAACTTATTGTACTTTAGTCAGTATAGAAGTAGATCTGCCCTTAAGGCACTTTTAAAATAGGCATGACCTTGTTGGCTATACATTCTAATACTGTTTTGTTTTGGAAATTTACAGGTAGAATGTCACCCATATATAAACCAGAGCAAACTCCTGGAGTTCTGCATGTCCAAAGACATTGTTCTAGTTGCCTATAGTGCCCTGGGATCCCACAAAGCCTCAAACAGGTAATGAGACCACTGAACTTTATTTACGTATGTCAATAATTCCATGTTGACAAACATTAACTTTTATCCTTGTGGAAAAGTTCAACTATGAAGAAACCATTTTAACATTGCAGAAGTTCCTATGCACCAGGGATCAACTTCAGGTTCACTAGTGGTCTTTTATTCTTGCTTTATCTGTCTACCTGTTTACAGCACTAATAAGCATAGTTCTAAAAATAGATTTTAAGGGCCAGTTTATAAAGATGAGACTACGTATATTTTACCCAGGCCATTTTAACAAGTGGGTGGAATGTAAAGCCCACATTCATATCCTTTCTAGAAACTTCCTTATTTCTGCAATATTTAATGTTTAATTTAGGAGGGACTTAGAACCATCTTCCCTCATAATATCAGCTAATGTTATACAGAAACCCAAAAGAGAATTCCCAGAAGAGAACATGATGTCTTTCCAAGTGGTGATATTGACTTGCAGAGTATCTAACATGTTATAAGAGATTTTTCAAAGGATATATGCAGCTGAATTCATGAACTTATAGTTGTATGTGCATTGATATGTTAAATAAATAGTACTGCTATTACATTTATCAGTGATTTCTGAGTTCTGTTTGTAGACTCAGAGACAGTAGATTTGCATATGCCCACACTGGTTGATTTTTTTCTTTACTTTTCTTTCTCTCTTTCTTTTTTTTTAACTTGACACTTGACACATGCCTAGACTTATCTGGTAAGAGAAGGAAATTATAACTTTAAAAAAATTGTCTCCATTAGACTGGCTTATTGGCAAGTCTGTGTGGTATTCTCTTTATTAATAATTGATGTGTGAGGGCCCAGCCCACAGTGGGTAGAGCCACCATTGTTGTCCTGAGTTGGATAAGAGAGGAAGTTGAGTAAGGCAATGGCCACCTTCCTTCATGGCCTCTGCTTCAGTTCCTTATGTGAACCTTTTTGAGGATGGACTGTGATGGGGAAGTGTAAGATGAGATAAGCTGTCTCTTTCCCAGGCTGTGTTTGTCATGATGCTTTATCTTAGCAATAGAAACCATAACTAAGACAGACAATAAGAAAGAAGACATTTTGATGACTGTCAAAGACATTGTCTCTTGTCCTGAACTTAGTAGAGTGTAGCCTTTACTGTAAAAACTTGATTTTCTCAAGTAAAAATAAAATAAAACAAAGTTGATCAATAATATAAATAAATAGCATTTTGTATGCCTTTAAAGTTCTTATTACTTCTGAGACAGTTTTCGACACTTCTCATTTGCTCTAGAATATTGCCTGTTCTATAGGAATGCTGTGTTTTTAGTTAAGAGGAATGGATTGAATTAGGATCATGCTATGTAGAGCAGGCTGTCTTCAAACCCATGAATAGCGACCTCCTGCTTCAGTCTCCCAAGTGCTAGGATTGCAGACTTCTGCTCCCATGCCTATCTGGAATTCACATGTCTATGCTTTTGTGGCCTTTGTCATCACAATTACCTGAGCTCATGAAATTTTATAGCAATTCTCCTGAATTCTTTCTTTCCTTCCTCTCCCTCCCTCTCTGTCTCCTTATCTTTTTTCTCTTTCTTTTCCTTCCTTTCTTTCACTTCTTTTCCTTCCCGTAATTTTAGTTATCAATTAATGGTAGCTAGAAATTATCAATGGAAAAGTTCTAGAAAAGAAATATGCAATTCTTATTTTAAAATTTCTTATTATTCTAAGTTACTTGATGAAATCACATGCTGTCTGGGACAATGATTAACCTTTTTTTTACTGTATTCTCACCAAATCTACTCCATGTTTGCGAGCCACTTGTTTGTTTGATTTATCCAAACTATCATAGCATGACAGGGCTTGCAGTTAGGAACTTTTATTTTACTTAATAAAGTCTCAAAATTATGAGAATAGGACTTCTTGAAACTTGGATAGGGCAAAGAGAGACACTTACTTCATTTAAAAATGGGCAAGTTCTCAACTTAATGATAGAGAAAATTTATACACTGAGATTTCCAAGATCCATGATAAGACTGAATCTTCTACCATGAAATTGTCAAGAAGAAAAAGGAAATTCATGCTAGCTTTGAATACAATCAAATATAAGATTCACTTATTCATCAAACATAACTTGGAAAAAGTATTTCATATATACATATATTTATAATACACATTGGTATCAGTGCTATCCCCAGACCCTCTGAAGATAAAAGGGAGTTTCTGTATTTCTGTTATATTCTATTATATGGATACCTGTACTACACAGTATTTATCTTCTCATCTATTGACGGATTACTTAGTTGTTTATAATTGCTACAATAATAAATAAATCACTTTTGAATACTTACAAAATTTGCTTTAATTATAACATATTGTACTTCTCAAAGGTCTGGGAATATAGGTAAGGGGGCAATATATTCCAGATTTGGTATCTCTTTGAGTATATGTCTGAATTTTTTCAGGATAAGCAGTGATAGCCCATACCTTCTGGGGGAACCCATCTTAAAGACCATTGCCAAGAAACACAACAGAACTCCAGCCCAGGTTGCCCTGCGCTACCAGCTACAGAGGGGTGTGGTAGCTTTGGCCAAGAGCTTCAATGAGAAGAGAATCAAAGAGAACTTTGAGGTAAAAGACCAGGGCTATTTCTCCAGAATGAGACCATGGGGACAATTTCCCTCACATGGGAACACTTGCTATTTATTTGCTCTCATGCGTTGCTGCCTTCTTCCACCCCCCACACTTGTGTGATACAGACAGCATTTTGAAAGGCCAGCAGAGAAAGCGTGGCTTTCCTCCACACTGGTTTGCCTTTTACTATTTCGTTAACATGCTGTATTGAATCTCCATTACTTCAGTTGGTTGTGGGAGTATTTTCAGATGGCAGAAACCTTTAAATACCTTCATTTCTATTCTTTGTATTCTATGCTTTTCAAATCCCTGTTTGTACTAAGGACTGCAATTTGGATTAAGATTAAATTACAATATGACTGCTTGTTGGTTAACTCACTGCATTTTATCAATACATTTTTGCTTTTTTTTTTAACTTCCATAGTTCTGGTCATGGGTCTGTTTTTGTTTTCCATTAACTTACAATTATTTAGTTATATACTGGTGAGCTTTCTGAGGTGTGGGATGTTATATATGAACATTTCCCCTTTAATCATTGGTGTTTCTCTATGAAGAAAAGGAGCTAGATAAATTTATAGATTGACCACATGAAGAAATCAATGATTAAAGTTATTCCTTAAATGTTTTTTCATATGTGCACTAGCTAGTCTCTCCTATCAGTCAGTGGTTTTTCATTTGTTTTGTTTAGAATCCCATAAGGTTAAAATTTAACTCTATATTTAGTTTCTGTATGTATTTGTGTTTGAGGGCACACTCACCAGCACACAGTGGGTAGCCAGAGAATAACTTGTGGGAATTGTTTCTGTTCTTCTACTACTGCACCTCAGGGGTGGATCAAAGTGTAAACAAGCACTGTCACCTGCAATATGGCAGCCATATTACTTAAAGAATGTATTTTTCAGAAGGACTTCTGGTGTATAGATGGATGGACAGTGTCTTGGTTTCTTTTCCTATTACTGTGATAAAATATCCCAGAAAAGCAACTCTAGGTAGAGAGGGTTTATTCTGAATCATACTTCAAGGGTACAGTCTACTATCACAGGGAAATTATAGTGGCAGGAGCCTGAAGGAGCTGGTCACTTTGCATCCACAGTCAAATGTAGAGAAGGTTGAATGCATGCTCACCTCTTCTCTGCGTTTTGCAGTGCAAGATCCCCTGCTCAGGGAATGATCCTACTCACAGTCAGGATGGGTCTTCTTATATCAGTTAGCATAACCAAGGTGATCCTATACAGGCATGCCCTACGACTCATCTCACTGATGGTTCTAGATTCTATCAAGTTGACTATTAACTTTAACCATCACAGATACCTTTAATAGATATAGATGATTAGAGAGAAATATATATTTAATTTTACATAATATGAAAAAATGTAAATTATGTATATATATATATAATATTAGAAAGGTCCTTTTGATTAGAAAAAGAATAATGTTTGATAACATTTGAGAAAATGTGATGATCAAGTGGTATTGTTGAACAATTGACCAGGGGAAGATTTTCTTCAACTGAATCAACTCTTCGAAAGGAGTTAAATCATGATGTTTGGGCAGGGCGGAGGTGAGGGTCTATTCAAAGCTGGATCAAACTCCAGGATAGCAAAGGAAGGAAAGCTAAAAATTTGGTTGAGACTAAATCTAGTATTTCATCTAGATTTAAAAATTAATTTGGGAGTTCTTTTTCCCTGCCTTTATTAAGATTAGGGATTGATGAGTCTTTCTTTTGTGAAATGGATCAAAGTAGGAAAGAAATGGATAAGGAGGAGCCTGCCATATTCAGCCAAAAGGTTTGAGACCCAGGCCGTCTGGAGACCAATGGTGAATAAAATTCTTCTCTTAAAATCACCTTTGGTGCTATCACCCTTATATTTCCAGGTAGAGGGACGCATCAATGGCTTATTTATTTATTTATTTATTTATTTTTTCTGAATTGTCTTTCTATCTAGGTGTTCGATTTTGAATTGACCCAAGAAGACATGAAAGCAATTGATGGCCTCAACAGAAATTTTCGATATCTTAAATTTTCATTGTAAGTATTTCCACTAGAGTGTTTTATGGGTTATTGGGTTTTTGAAACATGGAGGTGAACCATGAAAATGTTCTAAAGGATCCAAGAAATGATCAGTTTAGCTAAGCATTTGCTTTTTAATGAATGAGTTAAATTATGTGTCTGTGTAAAATAATAAGTAGTGACAGATAAAAAGGCTGCAAACATAGTTAAATTGTGCACTCAAAATATCCAGAAGTTGACTGAGACAGCAACTTTAAAACAACCAGCCTTAGTTCTCAATAGAGAGGGTCTCAAACAGAGGACAGGGTCTACTCAGGTGTGGCTTCTAGGTAAAAGGGCACATGACAGCATAAAGGTTGTATTAATAAATTTGATGCTTACAAACATTCAGCAAAGTCCAACTGGGAAAGTTGAGGCAGTTCCTAATAGACAGTCTTGAGCAGAGAAGAGTGAGCCCCTAGGGTGGGAATTCCAAATAAAAAAAAAAAAACCCAGAATAGAGAGAGATAACATTATCCAAATGGGTGCCTATAACATCCCGTTGAGACCAGGGAATACGAAGATCTACCAGTGACTGGTGGTGAGGAACTGAAATCAAATTCAAGATTCAACAGAACCAGAGACTCTAGGATCTGCTGCTCAAGAATGCCTTTATACTGCCATTCTGTGAAGTTTTCTTTATTATGGAAAACTCAGAGTTCAAAGGAGGGGGAGAGAAATGATGGAAAACATTCAGATTATTTCTTATCACTAGAAGTGCTCAAGAGACAGGAGATCTCTTGACTGAAGGGGATTGTTTGAATAATGCCTTTGAGCACACAAAGCTGCACAGCTAATAAGGGGAAGGGACACATCTTACCCTTGACATTCCTTGGCAGGTGGAAGGCATTCTCCTCTTGGGAGTAAACAAAGTGCTATGGGAACAGAGTTCACACAGCAGGCCAGTATATTATTATATGCAGGTCACAGGGGAAGATGAGGCAGTTCCCATGGCTGAACTTCCAGCTTCTTTTTCCAATGGCAGGCAATTTACATTATGGAAACCTGTCGCTGTTCTAAAAGCATGATGTTTTCACTCTTGGGCTGTTTTGCTGCTTTCTTCATTCCCTGTCAGAGGTTTTTGGGGGGTGCGAGGATCCCAACCCTAGACAAGGGGCCTAGACAAGAGGATACATCGAGACAAAATAATTGGTCTTAAATGCAGGAAGTGGCAACTCTGCTTCCAGAGCCAGCTTTTAGTGATCTGAAACAACATGTGATAGTATTTTAATACAGTGTCATTACAGAAAACACACCTGATTTTCAGAATAGGTTTGCAACAAAGGAAGGCATCCCTATGGACCTCAGAAGAGAGAAATTCCTTCTGAAGTTCAGATATGCAGTGAGACTCAGGACAACCCCATTTCAAAACTGGCCAGTCTGGGATTGGAGACTGGTTGTTCATCACTTCCCAAGCCAAAAAAACAGGCATGATAGCCTAAACGATTATTCTTAGCCCCTGAGAGATAGAAACAGGAGGATGAGAAGTTTAAGGTCACCCTTGATACACAGTGATTTTATCTGAAACACAGAATACATGTGACCTTGTCCCCCCAAATGGTCAAAGTTGCATCACTGTGAACTGATATTAAAGAATACACTATGACATATGGCCAAAACAAATGTCTTCAAGGTTCATTTGCCCATTATACTCAGATAACAGACAGATGATATAGTAAGAGGCCCATGAAAATACTTTCTTATTAGTGTTTATTGTAATCCAAAAAATAAAAGAGAATTCAATAATAATGAATGTACAGCTATGCATCAATACTATTTTAACTTTGTTTCCACGAAAACCTATTCTAACTTTGTTCATACTAAAGCAGTATAACATGTACTTTGAATAATCTGTGTGGAAGATGAACTCTCAAAGGTGATATGAATAAGTCCTAGGGAAAACATCATTCTCTTTCAGCTTCCTCCTCTCAGTGTTCATTGATACTTCCCCTGGGACAGTCCTTTACCAAGCTACATCAAAGGTGTCCTTTGACCTACACAAGCAAGTCTTGGCACAGAGTCAATCATATTAAAATTCTAAGAATAAAATAATGAAATCAGTTGATCCACAACCTTAATTGCTGATATATTCCATTGCATTTAGCAAGACAGGGTCCACTGAAGATTTTGTGGGTTCTCAAATCATGAGTGTCCTCATTTTGTCAATCAGAAGTGTGACTCGTGAACAACCAGTGTTTATTCTTTTCTTTCAGTGCGGTGGATCACCCTTATTATCCATTTTTGGAAGAATACTGAGCATGAGCTGTTAACCATTATAGAGACTCTCCTCCCTCCAGACAATGTGTATCTGTATTTGGTGGAGTGGTTGAGAAGCAGGATTCCTGCCTCCGTGTGCTTGTCAAATGTTACAATAATCTCAAGTGTTTTCCCTGATGATTATAAAGTAACACACAAGTTACAGAGAATTTATAAGATAAAAAGAAATATTTGATGTATCTTTCTTGATTGTTATGTAATTTCATGACTGCATTGTTATTTACAAAATTAGAATCAATTTCAACACACGGATCATATACTTTTAAATGTATTGTTTACAAATTATCAAACTTTATTGAAGAATTTTAGAGCACCTTTCTGGTTGTAAAGAATAGCTCTTACTAACTTACTTGATTTCTTAGTTATTGAAGCAGGTTTGGCAGTGGCATGCATCCCTTTTTTTTATTCCTTAGCAAAATTTTGTTGAATATCTGTTTTTCCTCCAGGCATTGCTTTATAATAAATTGGGAAAATTTAGTCTGTTTGCATATAAATATTTTTAAGTGGGGACTTTTGTTGAAATAAATGGCATAGGGGAAGAGAAGGGAGAGAGAGAGAGAAGGAAAAAGAAAAAGTGAGAGTTAGATGCAGAGAGAGAGAAAACATCTTGAGTATGAAAGCCTACTGGAAAAAGTAGGCTAGTAACCAAATCAAGTATTCAATGAGAAGTGGGGAGGGTGGGATGGGGAGGGAGTGGACTGGAGAAGGCTCAGCGGGAAAGAGGGTTTACTGTTCTTGCAATGTGGTTCCTAGCACACATGTTGACACTGCACAATTGCATGTAACTCTGCCTCCAGGACACCTAGGTCCATCTTTTGGCTTCTTTGGGCACACGTATTCATATGCACTTACCTTCCCCCCCCCAAAGATATACACATAATTAAAAAGCAAAAATAAAACTAAAAAAAGAAATCAATAAGCATCTATTGAAATTAATTTTTTTGATCTTTTATATTTTTCTTTTAAATTTTACTTTTTGATGTTTTGTTTATTTTTGATTTTCTGTTATCTTCATTGTTTTCTATTTACTTATTTATTCTGTTCTTTATGTTTATTTTTTCTTAAAATCAGTTCTTTAAGAATTTTGTATGCATTGTGTTCATACTTGCTATGGGACAATGGTCCTGTACCCTGTAACATTTTGTAAGTTGTACTGGTTTAATAAAATGATGACTTGCCAGTAGCCAGGCAGGAACAGCAGAATTCTTAGAAAAGGAAAGGCTGCATTTGCAGTCCTAACCCAGATGCAGAGGAAGCAACATGAGAATGCCTTGCTGATCAAAGGTGCCAATTCACATGCCTGACACAGACAAGAATTCTGGGTTAATATAGACTGTAATAGTTAATAGCAGGCCTGAGCTAAGAGTCCAACCCGTTTATGATTAATGTAGACTTCTGTGTATTTCTTTGGGACTAAACAGCCTCAGGACATGGCAGGACAGTAATCTCAGGCAATGCATACTTATCTTCAGGTCTTCCCAGATTCATTCCCCTTCCCTACCCATCTAACTTTGTGTCCTAAAAAAAAAAAAAAAAAAAAAAAAAAAAATACCAACCAACCAGCTAACCAACCAAACAACAAACTAACCAACCAATCAAACAACCAACCAAAACAAACAAACAAACAACAAAAACAAAAACCTCTTAAGATTAGTTTGTGCTTGCCGGGCAGTGGTGGCGCATGCCTTTAATCCCAGCACTCGGGAGGCAGAGGCAGGCGGATCTCTGTGAGTTCGAGACCAGCCTGGTCTACAAGTGCTAGTTCCAGGACAGGCTCCAAAACCACAGAGAAACCCTGTCTCAAAAAAACAAAAACAAAAACAAAAACAAAAAAAATTAGTTTGTGCTGCCAAAATAATTTTGAAAGTGTCATCCTCCACTGGAGTGTGATCAGCTAATAAAGGGATATACACTTAGAACAAACTGTCACATGCATTCCTTGTACTAACAATTGACTCGTGTTCTTTGCCTAGGGGTAGGAACATATAATTATCCACCTGCTAGGATTTCTTACATTGTTTTTACACATGACAAGTGGAGGGACTGACTGTGCTTCATTCTACATTTATTCAACAAGTTTGCATATTGAACAGTCTTGATTTATAAAGACAGCATCTCCCTTCAAGGTTAATGGGAATCATGTCTAATAAAGTAAACAGCCAATCTCCTTGTCAAAGAGACAGCCATTTTTACTGTTCATTGTAAATAATATGGGTTCCATCACCCAAGGTTTTTCTCTTTTTACTCAACCTACTGAATGTTCATATGCCATTGAATTGTTTCACTTCATGTTCTGAAAACTAGCAATGCAAGAACTGATGCAAAAGTGACCTTACTTTGGCTACAGATATTGTCATGAGTAACGAATTCTCATTTATCCCTAACCCAGAAGTTTTAGGGTTTCTACCACATGTACAAAACATATCTAGCTAGTTTATTAGTTTGTAATCTTGACCTTCCATATTCTTGACAATTATTTGAAGAAAATTTAGGAGTAGGAAGAATTGATAGTGGTAGCGGAGTGGGAATGTTAGGTGCTATTTCCTTCTTTTCTTCCTTCTTTCCTTCATTCATTCCTTTTTCCCACCCTTCTGCCTCCCTCCCTCCTTCCCTTCCTTCCTTCCTCCCTCCCTCTCTCCCTTCCTTCCTTCCTTCCTTCCTTTCTTCCTTCTTTCCTTTTTGTTTTGAAGCAGGGCCTCTCTACAAAATTTTGACTGTTCTAGAACTCCCTTTGTAGACCAAACTGGCCTCAAATTCACAGAGTTCTGTCTACTTCTAATTCCTGAGTACTGAATTAAAAGTGTAAGCAACTATGCTCTATTTTTCTTTTAACAATATTTTTTTAATAATTATTTGGGAGTATCACAATGATTATTATATTGTGATCATATTTGACTCCTCCATTTCCCCTAACTTCACCTATATACATCGAACATGTACCAACCTCATGTATTTTTTTTCTTAATTTCAAAAGGATTTCAGTTTGTGCTGCTCATATACTCAGCATTACTCACTTTCCAGGAGCTACAGAATTAATGAAAACTGACTTTCCCTCCCTAACCAGCCATCAGCTATCAATAACTCCTCAGCTAAGAATGGATACGGCTTTCAATACCTTGAGATGATGCTATTGAAGCCTGAACAGTAGCAGTGATAATATTCTCCCAACACTAGTGAATCCTTAAGCTTTCATATCATGTACCAAGTTGGAAACCAGCTCTGTGATATGTTTTAAAGGCTGCTATAATCCTGTCTTATGTTACCCACTACTTGGATCACTCCTTTCTTTATCATAGCTTAGATTTGTACTCAGGATATTGTGTCAGCACCTTTCATTGCTCATACAGATAACGCATGTATCAATGTCCTTTTCTTATTGTTCTTCCTCTCTTATTCAGACAAGTTTTTATTTTTTATAGACTTCTTGCTTAGTTTCTTGTTTTATTGCCCAGAGCAATGGCTGCACAACTGACATCATAGCTTGTTTACAATTCCATCCTATATTTGTTACTTTCAGGGGTTGTAGTATGTTATCTAGTCTCTCGGAGGCTTGGGAGGAACCTTTGTAATCATGGAGCACAGCCCATTTCTCAAAAAGACATTCCAATCGACACTACATAGTAAAAGATGGCCATGTTTTAATTTTCCCTACAGACAAGTAACCTTTAGATGAAGCAGTATTAGTTGTGTTTGTCTTTTTATCTATTTCAGGGATAATGCAATTGCTAGTGTAGCAAGCAATCCTGCCATTCCACACCACCAAGAGAAGAGGTGGCTGTACCATTATTAGCTCTGAGGGTGCTCCACTCAGTTGTGTGTGTAATCAACATCACATAGGTGAAACACGGCAAACTCAGCTATCTGTTTTTGTAAACTGCTGTATTCTTTCATTAAGTCATTCTTTCTGAGTTGAATAGAAAATGAAGTCTCAAAAAGAAGGTTGGTTACTTAGAAGGTACTTACAAAAAATAGAAGAGATAATTCTCCTAGCTGGTATGCAAATCTCAGCATAGCATATAAAACTTATGGAAAACCACAAGCAATAGGAAAAGAAACAATTATCAAAGAGAAGGAACCACCTACAGAACGCAAGTGGACCTTTAGCAGCTATTCATCTTCCAAAGTGTGAGCATCCAGAACATTTAAAGAACTGAACAATCCAAATATTAAATCATTCAACCACAAATGAAAAAAAGTGAAGAGCTCTAGAATTACTAATAAGAGTATAAAAAATGTTCACTGTCCATGGAAATCAAGGAAACGTAAATTAAAGATGACTGAATCCAGAAAATAAAGACCAATGAATGCTGTTGAGGAAGAGTGGTGGTGGGGTCCTTCTATAATGCTGGTAAGAATGTCAGTTACTTCAGCCAGTATGGAAATCATTATGAGTAGGTTCAGAAAGCTAAAACATAACCTTCATTTTGGTCTAGATATGCTGCTCCTGAAGTGTATGCAAATGAATCAGTGAGTATAATAGCAATATCTACAGACCCGTGTTTTTAAAGGTACTTTGCAGTGACCAAAATATAGAATCAGTCTAGGTTCCAATCAGAGGACAAATAGACAAAGAAAATGTGGCTTACATATAAAGTGGACTTCTATTAAGATATAAGGAAGAAAATATTATCTTATTTGAGTCAAAATGGATGAAGCCAGGTAAAAAGGATCTCGATAAACATAAAAATCACAACTTAGGAAGGCAAATAGTTTATGTGTTCTCCATAGATGGTGTCTAGTTTTTCAGAAAGACATAGAGTAGAAGGGGGGCTGTTTAGGGAATCAGGGATAGAACAAAAGACATTGTGGGCAAGGCAGTATGATCAAGATATCATGTCTCTGTATTGAAAAGTCACAATGAGAATCTTACTGTTTACAAAATAAAGAAGAAGAGATACCATTTTCAAGAGAAACTGAGCTCCCATCAGCAGTTGTAGGTAACATATGATCGATCAGTTACTATCCACCAGTTTCCTGTTTTCACTTTAAAGAAGTCAATGTGGATTATGAACAAAACAAGAAATTCATGCCTTCATTTTCACTCTGCAGTAATGTATTAGGGTTCACATTCATAGGAATGCAAGCAGCCTCTAACTCTGTACTCTGTGGACTATTGCTTTAAGCAGCTCCTCCCACATGCCACTGTTTAACTTTCCACTAGATATTTAAGGAGCTGTCACATTTGGCTGGCCTGCACCCTGTGCAAGCAGAAGACTCAAGACCTGTTAATTGCATGATTGACAAGCTATGAGTTCTGTATATCTGCATGTGGCACTGAATGATGGTCACTTCGTCCCTGTACTGGGATTTGGAACCACTGTGCCTCATAAGTTAACATTTGTGTCTTGGGTCTAAAGGTATACAAAAAAAAAAAATCAAGGA